GTCACTTTGCAATTTCGAAAATTTATTACGGAGGCAAATGCAAAGGCAGATAAGTGGAAATTGTTACAGAATGAGACGTATGTATTTAAGTTTTTTAAGCTTCTACTTTAGATTAGTGATGCACCGTATCTTTGTTCGATACACGATATCTTTATCAAAACTTCACGTGGGTGTCCATAAAGTCTCTTTGCAATTTCAAAAATTTATTACAGAGGCAATTGATAAGATATCTTCGTCAGATTTGTTTCATGTACTAGGTGATTATCAAAGTTTTTATCACACTGCATTTCAGGAACCTTGTTGATGAATAAGATACTGTTAAACGAACACCTTGCAAAATGGCTACTCGTCAAAAAAAGGCACAGTGTGTATCATGGTTTATTGAAACCAAATCGGATCTGCAGACTCGGCGAGGCTTCAGAACTAATTGCAAGTATGGAAGAGATCCACCGTCACGTCCGTCAATTCGTGCATGGCATAAAAAATTTATGGAGACAGCAATAGTGTTCGATAAAGGGAGGAGTGGACGACCAAGAACGTCTGAGGAAAACATCGATCGTGTAAGAAATTGACTATCGTCTTAATATGCTTCGTGCAACTAATGGTGCCCATACAGAGGTGTATTAAATGAGGCGAAACAAAACTTAAACATACGCATCTCATTTTTTAATAATTTCCACTTGTCTGCCCTTTCATTTGCCTTTGTAATAAATTTTCGAAGTTGTAAAGAGACCTTACGGACAGCCTGAATTGTTTCACGAATTAACTTTGAACGAAACGAAACCCTAACTTCGAACTTTGGGATCTTTGTAGAAAAAAAAAAAAAAAAAAACTCGTCTCTCTCGCGAAAGTTGCCTCGTTTAGCGAGTGTGCCGAGTGAGAGGATTATCGTTCACTCGTCGAACCGAGTTTCGTAAGATACTCTCAACCCTCGTCCTCCCTTTGGCTCGCCTCGACTCTCACCTCAGATCCAACAGAAGAAGAAGAAGAAGACGACGAAGAAGAACAAGAAGAAAAGAAATGAAAGAAACCGAAGAACGTCTGAATTTGAACGAGTAAACACACCGCGGACTTTCGTGTCGCAAAGACGTGAAAAACTTCCAACCAGCCAGCTTCCACCAGCTTCTCATTAGCATGCCACCCGCTCTCATTAACCCGAGCGGTCGCGCGGCCTTTGCCTCGTAAATCAAATGAATAATTAGCCCCGGAGGAAGTTTCGAGGCACTCTGCTTACCTGTATAAACAGGGACAAGTCGTCGCCAAGCAGCATGTCCCTGCAGACGTCCCTGGCGGTGGTGTCCAGAGTGAGATAGACGAGGCTGCTCTCGATCCCCGTGTGTATCCGAACCCAACCGCTTCCGCCGGTGACGTCCACGCCGACGCCGGAGTCCCACGAGGAGTTGAAGGTCTCCTGGAGTCTGGCCACTTTCGGGCTGGTCAGCTCCGACATCGAGCCGTCGCTTTTCATCGAGTTGTCGTTCGACTCGTCCCTCTTCTTCTTCTTCTTCTTCTTCTCCTCCTCCTCTTCCTCGTCCTTCTTCCCACCCTCGTCGTCGAGTCTCGCCGAGTCGAATCTCTCGATCGCCTCGTCCAGAGTTCCCAGGATCTCACGCTCGAGAGCCGTCTGATCGACGACTCGGTCACCTTTGTTCCGGGATCTATCGTCTGTCAGATCGATCTCCGATTCGGTTCTGTCTCGACGCGCAGGCTCCTTCGACGTAACAGTCGAGTCGACTCTCGCTTCGTTAGAGCTGTACCCTGTCTCCGGGTACAATCTGGAGCTCCCCAGACAATCGGTCGCGTCGTCGTCGACGATGTCTACGTGAGTCCATTTCGAGTCCATTTCCTGCCGATCGTTGGTCGAGCAAAAATCGCTCCTCCTCTCCCCGTCGTATTCGATCCTCGTGGTCAGTACTCTGTCTCTGGTGCTCTCGTCCGACTCGCAGAAACCAGGCTTCGGCGCCATGGTGAAGTTCTCGTTGTCACGCAGAACTCTCGACCTCGGCAGCGTCTTTGTCGATCGTTTCTCGTTCAACGTGTCGACTCCGTGCTGATCCTTCGACGCGGCCGGTTTCTCGCAGTGGCCCCTCGAGAGAGTCAGCTTGTCGTTCGAGTCCAACCTGCGCTGTCTCGACGAGTCTTGAACCGCGCCATCCAGTTTCGTTCTTCCTTTGCGTTTTGCCTCCGCGTACACCGCGTGCGCCTCGTTTCCCTCTTTTCTCTCCTTCTTCGTGCCGCCGCTCGACTTCGACAACGTGTCCTTTGTGTCCTTCGCGTCCTTCGATTGACTCTTGAACCTGGACCTCTGCTGGAACCGCTCGTAGTTGGCCAGGATCTTCTGGTTCAGCTCGTGAATCAGCTCCAGCCTCTTCGAGATCGAGTCGTTCGTCTTGTCCACCTTCTTCTTCCTGCCCCCCCATTTCGCCGCCTCCTTCTCCACCATCTCGTCGTTCCTCGCGGAGGTGGACTTGGACGACTTGACCGTGCCGGGCAGTTGTCGTCTCTGCTTCCCGCTAGGGACACCTATCTCGTACTTCGAGTCGCTCTTGATCACGCTCTCGCCACCTGCTCGACGCTCGATCACGTCGACGTCGATCGACCACGAGTCCCTGCGCTGTCTACTACCTGGCCTCTGCTGCTGGAACCCCGACACGTTCATCAGCTCCAAGCCGGTGTTGTTCTCTCGCCTCGCGTCCATCGTTTCCGTTTTCCTGCGATTTCCGCTCAGCTCTATGCCCTTCCTCGCGTCCGGACGAACCTCCAAGCCCGGGCTGGACCCGCTGCTCAGGCTGATACGCTCGTTCAGCTCCCAATTCATCGACGCCCGCTCGCTTCGACACGAATCTTGCCGCGTTGTCTTCTCAGTGGAACAGGCTTCGTTTACGTTCGGTTGTACCTTCAGCCCTCTGGTCGAGGACAATCTCCGGGACCTTCTCAGCTTGCTCGAAGCGCTGCCGCTCGGTGATCCGCTCGCCATCACCATTTTGATTGCGAATCATTCGAGATTCGCTCGACTCGTCGGGTATTTAAGATTACAGATTAAGACGAGAGACAGTCGCGGGGCGGATTATCGGACTGTGAATGAGCGTGACGCGTCGTCGACGGAGAGCTCCATGACAGCGGATTCGAGCGAGTCTCTTGGCTTCTGTTCTGAAACAATGGGTTTAAAGTGCGTTGTGAACGAAGTTGGAGGACAAGAGAGATGAAAGAGAGAGAGAGAGAGGTATTCTTCGACTTTGAACATTTGAACAATTGAACATTTGACGTGAAAAATTTTATGTGTCTCTCTCCCCAAAGAAGAAACTTGGTAAATGCATTCCTGTATTCATAGGAGCTGTCGAGGAATCAACGAATCCCTGTTAACTTAATTATTAATTATACCAAACATGTAAGTAAATAATAATATAAATATAATATAATATAATAAATAAATGATATATAATATATAAATAAATCGTGCTCTTTGCTGCATCGGAAACTCTTTCCACTTTCCTTCTGGTTTCGCACCTCGCTCGTTAATAAATAAACATAATGAAATTTTATCTATAAATATTAATTTTATACTTAGTATCGATAATGAAATTATAATATTAGAAAACACAATTTCATAAAATCTTCATCCAGAAGCAGTTCATCATATTTATTTAATAATTTAAAAAAACAAACAATAATTTTACATATATTGAAATCATGAAAATAAAAGTTTTTAAGAATTAAAGTTACACGACTCGATTGCAGCTTACGTCGAAGTACAAACTTCAGATTGCTTTAATTAAAATAAGGTCAAGTGGATCGTTATACGATCTCTTTTTTATAAAGTTCATATCGCTTCAGATCGTCGACGATATTCCATTGTTATTGGCCGCAGTTCAACTTCACAAAAGATGATCGACTCGAATAAGTAGAGTCATCGACGATTCGACGCAAAGGAAAAAAAAAAAGAGAAGAAAATAGAGAGAAGAGAAAGAGAAATCGACGAACTGCGAAAAAGAGGGAGGACTCTCAATCGAGGAAATATTGTTACGCCTCGTAACGGATAGCGACGTGCCCTTGAAGTTGGTATATAAATTTCGCGGATGCAGCGATAAACGAGAGCCCGGTCGGTTCGCCTGACGACGACAGATAAATAGAAAGCAAGGTACGTGATTCGAACGACCAAGCTCGACACGTACCCTTCGTTGCATCCTTTTGTACGCCTTGGACTATTTCCCGATTACACACACATACACACGCACACAGAGTGTATACGTACATACGTCGGTGTATACAGGGTGGGCTGAAATTCGTAGTGCAAGGGGATGATTCCACGTCAAAAAATAAGAAAAAAATTTGGTATAACATTTTTTTATCTGGGGCTCGGTTTTCGAGAAAATTGAACTTTAAAGGAATTAAAATTTTCGTCCATTCTTCGAGTTTCTACACAATGAATTGAACAAGATCAAATGAGATTCGAAGTGAATAAATAAATTCCATTAATCAAATCACTGTCCGTATTAATTAGATTATTATTCGCACGATTCATATCGTTGTTCATTTATTTGTTATTGTAATCATTTGCGGTGATATGATTGTTGCAATGATCCAGAGAGGTTAGAAACTTTTGGCGCCAAAATACGAATCGCACCGCCATTAAAATACAAACAAACATTTTCCGTGGTGAAACGACATTGTTCTGGCAA